TTCTTTCGAGGACCAGGAGGTTTTAGGAAGTCTTTAGTTTGGGGAAGGCCAAAATGTAATACTTTTGAAAGAGACTCTAAAAGCAAGTGAAAGAATGATAGAAAGGCAGGCTTCAGTAGCGGAGGGAGAGGTTTTAGGAATGTTGATGAGGACATCAAGACTAAGGCTATGTAAAATCAACTGTTTTAGTTTGGCGAAGGCAAGGAGGAGGAAACTTCAAAGATCAGACACCTCCAGGGCTACGCTCTATCGTCGATGCAACAATATGGGGTATTTGATGTAGTGATCTCGAGAACCCATAGCTTGCGGAACCAAAAATCCCAAATACAGGGATCCCACCCAATATCGTGTACTCAATTGGCCAAATGCAAAGTAGATGAATACAATTATAAATCGAGTACGAGAAATAAAGCAAACATAAAAAGCACACCACAACAATACACGATTTACATGGTTGACCCCGCAGGGTTACATCCAAGGCCTCGACAACTAGAACCCCACTATCATAATGAAGATAACAATTTTGAGTTATAAGAGATAATACTTATCTCTAAACATCGGTAAAAGACCATCATCGATCATCCCTTTTAAACCTGCTCTCCCGACCAAGCAACGCCGTTGATCAACATCTTTCTCATCGTAATGTCGCTATCGGAAAGATAACCTCGAGATCAATATAGAGATTTTCTCTCTCTAGAAGTGGAAGTTAATCAACCCAAAACTCATAGGAATACTGCCTCTATCTCAAAGACCATGTCTCTCTCTCTTGGATACCCATCTCCATATTGGAGATCCATTCCCATAACCTCCAAAGGGGTGACCCTCAGGATGGGTATTATATCCTCTTTCACTCTCTTATAAAGATATCACTTTCTTGCTTCCCAAGAAAATCAATTTTTTATTTTCCACAATAGCCTAATGTTTAGAAGAAAATATAGGTGTAGTGATTTGGCTATCACCAAACTCAACAATCTCCACCTTGATAGGAAAATTACCACAATTGCCTTGACAACATTCACTGAATAGATTTCTTGATATCTTCATACTCACATCCATTTTGGAACTTTCACAAATACTTTATCTTCATATTTCTCCACCTCAAAACATGGATATTTTTTTATTTCTTCTCACTTGCCTCCATTGTGGAATTTTCACAAATACTTTGCCTCCATATTCTCCACCTCAAACTATGTATCCATCAAACTCCATCATTCACCATTTTCTTAATACAAGCCTTAGCCTCAGTATACACCTTATGCTCTGATACCAATTGTAGGGACCTTAAGAGCCCCTTAGCTTGTGGAAACGAGAATCCCAAATACCAAGATCCCACCCAGGATCGTGCATATGATTGATTAAATGCAAAGTAGATAAAAACAACTATAAATTGAGTGCGAAAAATAAAGCAAATATAAAAAATAAACCATAACAACACACGATTTATGTGGTTCACCTCATAGGGCTACATCCATGGCCTCGACAATTAGAAATCCATTATCACAATGAAGATTACAGTTTTGGGTTACAATAGATAATACCTATATCTTAACATTGGTAAAAGACCATCATCGATCTTCCCCTTTAAACCCGCTATTCAAATCGAACAACACCGTTGATCAACATCCTCTTTTCCACCATTGAAAAGATAATACCAAGAGAATATAAAGATTTTCTCTCTCTAAAAGTGGACGTTAACCAACCCAAAACTCATGGGAATACCGCCCCTATTTCAAATGTCATGTCTCTCTCTCTCTCTTGGAGACTCATCTCCATATTGGAGATCCATTCCTATAACCCCCAAAGGGGTGACCCTCAAAGGATGGGTATTATGTCCTCCTTCATTCTCTTATAAAGATATCACTTTCTTGCTTCCCAAGAAAATCAATTTTTTATTTTCCATAATACCTTAATCTTTAGAAGAAAATATGGGTATGGTGATTTAGCTATCACGAAACCCAACAATCTCCACATTGATAGCAAAATCACCATAATTGCCTTGACAACCTTCATTGAATAGATTTTTTGGTTTCGTCATACTTGCCTTAATTGTGGAATTTTCACAAATACTTTACCTTCATATTTCTCCACCTCAAATCATAGATATTTCTTGATTTCTTCTCACTTGCCTCCATTGTAGAATTTTTACAAATACTTTGCCTCCATATTTCTCCACCTCAAACTATGTATCTATCAAACTCCACTATTCATCATCTTCTTAATGCAAGCCTTACCCTTGTACACACCTTATGGTATGATACCACTTGTACGGATCTTGAGAACCGTATAGCTTGCGGAACCGAAAATCCCAAACATCAGGATCCCACCCAAGATCGTGTACTTAATTAACCAAATGAGAAGTAGATGAATACAATTATAAATCGAGTGCGATAAATAAAACAAACATAAAAAACACACCACAACAACACACGATTTACGTGGTTCACCCCGTAGGGCTACATCCACGGCCTCAGCAATTAGAAATCCACTATCTCAATGAAGATTACAGTTTTGAGTTACAAGAAATAATACTTATCTCTAAACATCGGTAAAAGACCATCATCAATCTTCCCTTCTAAACGCACTCTCCCGACCGAGCAACACTGACGATCAACCTCTTTCCCACAGCAATGCCGCTACTGAAAAGATAACCTCGAGAGCAATATAGAGATTTTCTCTTTCTAGAAGTTGAAGTTAACTAACTCAAAACTCATGGGAATACTGCCTCTCTCTCAAAGGCCATGTCTCTCAGAAACCCATCTCCATATTGGAGATCCATTCCCATAACCTCAAAGGGGTGACCCTCAAAAGATAGGTATTATGTCCTTCTTCACTCTCTTATAAAGATATAACCTTATTACTTCTCAAGAAAATCAATTTTTTATTTTCCATAATACCCCAATCTTTAGAAAAAAATATAGGTATGGTGATTTAGCTATCACCAAACCCAACATTTCACACTCGTACAAATGGAAATCCCGATTTTGATATTAAGAGAGTGATACTAATTGACACACCGAGGTCAATGGAGCCTCAGATTGCTCATATGTTCTGCTAAGTATTAATGGCTATCCCAAAGCACCTTCCCTTTCTCTTTCTGGGACTGCAAAAAATGTTGATAAATCTGAAGTTCTCGCATTTGATACAATGAGTATGAAGGAGCTCGTGTCACAAGAGAGTGCTCTAAGGGCAATGGAGCAAGTTTTACTAGAAGCTACCTGCTGGTGAGGAGGTAGTGATTAAGAGGAAGAAGATACACCACCCTTCTAGTGCTATTGAGATGCATTGGAGTGATTTTGGGGCTGAAAACTATATATGTCCATGGCACAGGGAGTGCATAATCATTTTTTGGCCTCAATATCATTGGGGAATTGATGGACATAGGCAATCCTTATTTGCTCTATACTAAATTCATATGCCCACTTTTCTTCTAAACCCCTATGCCCACCCTTTTCGTGTTGGGACATTGCCTCAAGATCCTTTTTGCAATGCAATTTTTCCTTGTTCCTCCTCAAAGATACACCATGGCATCAGATGTCGATGCAAGCTTTGCGGCTTCCGTTATCACGACGAGAGAACTTAGAGGCCGAAAAAGTAGAGCTGCTGAAGAAACCTAAAAATGAAAGCCAAAAATGTCACAGGTCTCAAGCAAGGATGGTCCTGATAGTGAGTCAATCCCTATTAGACCCTATTGCAATGCCCTTGCTGCAACCCCACTTTAAATAGGAAAGCACCCAATGCTCTCCCACCCAAGCAACTCACAGCAGAAGCCAATGATGCCAAGCCATCAAAGCGAAGTACGCAACAAAGGTCAAAAGAGAGCCATGGCCATAACCATCTTCATGTTGGAGGGAGGAGGGAGGGGGAGGGGGAGGTCGATGAGCCATAACAATGAAAAGCCATGGCATGAGATGAGTGATGAGGATGTGCATTTTAAGAGGAGGCGTTGTTGTAGGCAATAGGAATTTGAGACGAGGGCAAAATATGGTGTTCACTTCAGGGGTTGATCACTAGAGATGGATAAACACGCTCATAAATAAAGAGGAAAAATGAAGAAATGATATTTGTAATGAGTGTATTTTGAATGTTGAGATTTGCAATATTATTTAAAAGAGTGTCTATGAAAAGATCATTTATCTTTTGTGCATAGACATCACAATCATTCTTGTCCCTTAAATTTCAAAATGGGTGGTTGTAAGAGTATCATCGAATAGACACAAATTCTCAGACTTCATGTCATACCCCAAGCCATGCAATTTAACATCTAATTAAAAACATACACTAAGCCATCCAATTTTACATATAATGAATAGGAATGATTGTGACATCCATATACAAAAATAAATAGTTTATTTGTAGACAATCTTATTATTTTATTCATGTCAAAATATTTAAGAACGTTGAGATTTGTAATATAATTTTATTCATGTGAAAATATTATCAGAACTTTCTCTTTTTATTTTTTAGATACATTCCCCATTGAATAATTTTAGATTGAAAATCTCCCATACCTTTAAATTCAAAAACACTAAATTGTCTATCATTTCCTTTCTTTGGACCTAGCTCCCAATGTTAACGTTTAATTGTGTTGTTTGATCCTTTGCTATGCTATGCGAATGTCATAAACAGTGAACAAAATCCATAGTACCCATTCTACTACTGCTACTACTATTATTATTATTATTATTATTGAGGTTGCTTGCTGGGTTTAATAGATTACACCCCCCAAATTTGGGATCCAAAAAAATCCCAAACTTGAGTTTTGCAAGAGTAGCAAATGCACAGTATACTCCTAGGGGAGCATGAAATCTTTTTACAGACGCTATTCCTACAGGAACAGTGCATCTCAGCTGTCCGTAATGGACACCTGGTGGCTGGGTTAATGTAAAGGTTCAAGAGTAAACTTCCTCATTGTATAAGACTATATCGATTGAAAAATTAGGCAGATGAAACTAGCTTTTGAAGAAATAAAAGAAGATATTGAGTTTGACTCAGTAAAAACATAAAAAAGGAAACGATTGTATTTAGGGGAAAAAAAAGGAAAAAAGCAAAAGATTCACAGATGGGAGAGATCTAATACTACAAAGAAGCATCCCAAACAAGTTATCCTATAGAAATAATTGCACAGCAATCTCATATACCGTCAGAAAATGGAATTAGAAACTACAGAAATTATTCCGGAGACCAAAAAACTTCAGATTGAGAAACAAAAACTGATTAGGATGAAATGTGACGATGCTATGGAAGCCTTGGGAATTTTGAAAAATCTGGGCGCCGACGCTGCAAATATGCCATCTTCCCCTCATTCCCCTCCTCAGTGCCATAGAATAGCAGAGTGGCATTCCCAGCCAGCTCCTGAAATTCAGAACATTAATCCTTTTTCTTGGTTTACTTAAGTATAAATTCCCAATAGACTAACTAGTATAAATGATAAAATAACAGAATGTTGGAGTGATTAATAGTAAAACCAAGAATAACAGATTGAGATGCCCAACCAGCTTCTTGGAATTCAGAATATAAGTTATGTTTTTATCGCCAAAAGAGTAACAGTAATAAGCAGATTAATAAGAATGCAGAAGATTAATCTGCTTAATGGTTATACTGAGAAACAGCTTAAATTTTGTAACATGATCATCATGCCCTGAAAAACTCAAAAAGCATTATTTGCCATAAAATCGAGAACAAGGATTATCCCCCCCCCCTCTCTCTCTCTGAAAATGTTTTCAACATAAATCAATTTTTTTCAGAACAAGGAAAAAATAAAAGTTCCATTATCATGAAGTCTTACTCCAAAAGTAAATGAATATAAGTTGCCAGAAACAAAACTCAGATTTATAAAAGATATACGTTATAAATTGCAATATGCATAAACAATTGTACTTTTAGAAACTCATTTCTGAAAAAGTTGAAATATAGATTTTATGTCATCTCCTTTCTTTAGAATTTTACTAAGACTTTCCCAAGAATGATAAAAAATAATTGTCCCACCCAAAACTTCCCAAGAACAAGATTTGTGACTGTTAACAATATCTTAGTTTTTTATGGGGGCGATGATAGTAATAATGATGAATGAAATTCACATGCTTGTACTAGTGAACCTGAAGTCCAGCATGGCCATCATCAACTGCATTAAGAGCAGCTTTACAAACACGAATTGCTGTCGGGCTGTTGCGCAGGATCTCCCTGCACCATTTTAGTGTTTCCTCTTGTAGCTTTGCCAGCTGCATAAAGCCAACATAATTGGAGAAACCAATACTTGCAATCTGGGCATATTCTCAAGACTCAAGGTCTTCAAAACAATGAACTAATATTATGCTGCAAGAAACACATTCAAGTGCAACTGAAATTCTAGCGATTGTGGTAAAAGGAAAAGCAATTCATAGGAATGAGTGTGAAGAGAAACCTCTACATGTGCTGCCATTATTGCTATTCCCCGTCATCTGATCTAAATAGACAACTTCGATAGCTTTAGCCATAATGTCACAAGTTAGTCTATAAATATCTTATTTCGTTAGGACAACTCAGAGTTTTTGATTTTAAATTTTTATTTGACAAATCATTTTGATATGAAATTTGGGGCGTACCCACTTCTCATAGGGGAGCTCCGAACAAAAATAATTAAAAAACAAATTATGATTAAACAAAGTAACTAAAATATCGATATCATTTTGGTCATTTTATTTTACCAGAAATACTTTTTAATATGGTTCTTAGGCACGCCCTTGAAAGGAGAGGAATGCCTCAAATTTCATGTCAAGATGATATATGGAAAAACATTTTAAAATAACGCAATGCTATAGGACTGAAGCTAACACAACTGTCCTTTCGGATCGGATGGGTGTGAATAGAAATCTCATGTCCCACATATATAGCCTTCCCAGGAGAAAATGCTTTATCTTAGAACCTTCTAATACATGGAGAGTCGTACCATTAGGTGCCTCAATGCCCAGATCGGAAGAACCCACTTTATGAAACAGATTTGGGATAAAAAAGTTGACACTATAATGATTAACTAAATCAAGGTGGGAGGATTGGAAGGCCATTTCCTTAGAGAGGGTTCAACAGATTGCCATTTGATAAAGTTTGAGATGGTGGGGATGCAGGCTCATTTGGGTTTATGAGATCCATGAAAAATTCCAGCTTCGCATGCCATAAGTTTGAGGCGGTGGGGATGCAGGCTCATTTGGGTTTATGAGATACATGAAAAATTCCAGCTTGGCATGCCAGAAGTTGACATGGTGGGGATGCAGGCTCATTTGGGTTTTTATGAGATCCATGAAAAATTCCAACTTTGCATGCCATACTTAAATAACGATCAGCATCGATTGAAACTTGGAGATACATTTAGTGGGAATAAATTTCAGAAGGTTGATGATGATGTGTAGCTCAGTCATTGTAACATGGAGCAGGAAAATGAACAAAGAAAATAATGTGTGACAAATTCCTTGAGTTAAGAACAATTGAATAATGGCAACATATCTCATCCAATACTGAATACTTTATTCAAAAAATATAACACAAACACACACACGCACAAACGCATACACACACGCGTGCACACACAACACAAGAAGCACAAATAATGGTGTGACGTTTACTCAACTTTCCCCTCAATTTTCCTAAAATCTTTCTCTAGGAGAATGAGAAAGCTTAGAACTCCCAGATCATGTATTTTCTCACATTCCATTCTCAATCTCTCTATCTAAGCACATTAAATAAATCCATCGGTGTCTTTAACTCCAATCAATTGGAAAGGAGGCGTCCAGCCTCATGTGTCTCCCAACATTTAAAATTCTAATATTAAATTGACATTAATCATTTTAGAGAAATTTATGCTAATATCCCCCCAAATTAGTGTTATTAAAGAATTCCCCCTTAATTTTTCTATTTTATATGTTTTTCTCTTCTTTTTTTATTCCCAAAGTTTCACCACAATGGATCTTCAAGATCCAAAGTGATAAAGCCATTTTATAACTCCATATCTTAAAGATCTAAGGTCAGGCTTCTATATACAAAGTCAAATATGACTAAGGATCTTCTATATCTTGAATATCCAAAGTCAGGTCCCCATCTACAAAGTAAAATGTGACATGTGCGATTTCAGATCTCGAATATCCTAAGTCACATTTGACTTTGTGTATGGAGGTTTGATTTTAAATATTCAAGATCCAAAATCATAAAATGCCTTCGTCAATTTGCGATACAAAAAAAATTAAGAAAAAAAGGGGTATACACAAAATTAAAAAATAAGGGTAATTTATTCAATAATGATAATTTTGGGGGATATTAACATAAAATTTTCAATATTTTATCAACAAAGAATATTCATTACTTCAAATATTAAGTTTTTTGCCATGAATAAAAAAGAATTTATGAGAATAGCTAAAAAGTCCAATAATTTTATCATGACATAAATTATGTAAAAAATAAAAATAAATAAAATTGCAATTAAATAATAAAAAATGAAAAAAAAATCCATATATAGCAAGACTCATATTTCATGTCTTCTTAGGAATATTGGACGGAAAAAATAGAGATGGTAAGAAATTAAAAATCCCACCCCCATATATTCTCCAGCAATAATATAATATTAAGCACTAAAATCTTAAAAATACTATCAACTATTGGAGGTTATAAACAAGAAATTTTATAACAATAGTAAATTAAAATATTAAAAATACTATCAAATATTAGAGGTTATAAATAGGAAATTTTATAACAATAGTTGAAACATCCAACTTTTATCTACTTTGGCATAGTTAGCTAAAAATATAATTAAAAATAAAATCCATAATTAAATGTAAAAATTATGATAAATTTCTCAAACTTGAACTTCACCTGACCCCCACTAGACATTAACTAGT